CACAAGTATGTTTAGCAATTAATTTGTATGTTTATTGTTTACACATACCATTTTATTAACCTGGTATTGAAACGTCTCAGTAAATTTGACTAACATGTCAAGTTTCAAATTTATCCTTCTCTTCACCACTTTAAACATTTTTTAACAACAAAAATGTATTTAATCTTCGTTAGGTAAGTTTTATAAACCGGAAAGACACTAAACAACATACGTAATGGTCAAACAAAATATAAAGTTTTATAATGAATATGGTGTAATCTAATGGTGAATGAAATCTTAGTCCCAGTATGAGTGCCTTAGAAATGATACTGCCATGGAAATGCAGGGTTTTGACAAGAGAGAGACAGTTTAACTTCGAGGTCAATCCCTTAATCCAATCGACATGTCTGAAATATAATAGATTAGTCCAGTGTTTTATTGTAATTATGTATTAACTTAATGTATAACATCAGACGAGTAACGTAGGAACAATACTTTGAAGTAATAATATTGTGCTTTTAGTAAAATTATACCTTAAATAATATTTTATATCCTATAGTTTTTTTTTACTTTGTAAAACTGAAATAAATAAACAACATTTAGGCTAAGAAACAAAAAACCACTAGTAGTGTATTTAAATTGCCAGGGCAAATAATTTATAACAGAATATTCTATTTCAATAATCATTCTTTTAAATTGGGTTTAAATTAGCAAGTGCTGTTCTATACCAGAACCAATACTATTCCTACTGCAATCTTGTTGAAAAGGTGTTAGAACTGTGCCTAAATTATCTTTCAGTAACACTGCCGAAACATCAAGATGTTAAATTGCTGCAGGGATTAAATTATGGTCCCACCTATTGACTTTTAATCTAGGGAATCAATAGTTTTAAAAATGATAATTTTATTTGGTTTTTTATTAATTTATACAAAGGAATTCTTATTTGAGTTTCTTTGAATTGGTGAATGTCAGCAGGAAGTTAAATAGTATCTAACTATGATTTTAATGTAAGATATACAAAGATTGTATGAAATCAACTTATGAAATATTTTACAATGATGGGTTTAGAAGCTTGACATCCTTCACAATGGTGTGCACAAGATTATGTATCGCCAACAATTATCTCTACTACCAAAGAGTTTCTTAAGCAGCAAATACCTCCTTTAATTTGATTCTCTGTTAGCTGTTGTATATAGATATGAATATTGTTGGGCTTAGCCACTCTAGCACATGTTTAGTCATAGACTATAATTTGAACTTATGGTTCCTATTAATTTGGAATTATTGTTCTTGTATTATTGTTGTTAATTCCACATCCATGTATTTATACATTTTGTTTTACTGACAATATCATTGTAATAAATTATTACTTGTGATTCTGATGTTGAAATTTTTAGCCTTTAATATTTCAAAGAAGTGGATAAAGAGTGTATTTCAATTGGGTTTTTGTTCAACTGCAAGCAATTATCAGTCAATTCAGCAACACTTTCAGAAATATGTCTTTATACTTCTTTGAAGATCTAATACTTGGGAAAACAATTTAACACATTGTTTGTGGCCATTCCCGATCGGGTACGGTGCTTAGCGTCCTTCAGGTGCGTCCGTACCCGATAGGGAACGCTCAGCAATTATGTCTTTCGTATATCTTCGTTTCTCTGTCAGCGTTGCTTGTACACTTTAGTCTCGCGTTGTGTGTGGCTTGCTTTTTGTTGTGGTGTAGGTTGGTATTAAGTTTCCCCATAAAATCCTCACCTGGCAAGCTTAGAAATCAACTTGTCCGGTTTTTCTCCCTCAAATCGGCAATACAATGGGACCAGTTACGTTAGAAGCAGTGCTGCTATCTGTGGGAAAACATATATTTTTCTTATTCAAGCAACGATTTTGGTATCAAAAGAAAGCTCTAAATTTCGTAGGTAATGGGAATACCTACTTTTGTCTTAAATCACAGTAGTTTTCAAGAAAATAATGATTCTATCGAAGCATGTCGTGAAAAGTGATATTTCAGAAAAGAGACCTCTTTGCTGCCCTATGTTCTCCATGAGTCCCAAAACTACCGAAAGCGACCTCTTGGCGGCATTTTCCAGTTTAAAAAAAATTGTTATAAAGAATGTATTACTTAATAATAATATCAATAGTTAATACAATGATAAAATAATATTTTAAAATAATAATATTAATAATATTATTTTAATAATAATCAAAGATTAACATATAGTATAGTTTTGGGTGTGTCAGTACAACTAGGCCTACTAAAAGTATTAGGCCCCGGGTACGATACGAGCGGCGCCGCTCTAACATCGGGTCTCATTTAGTTGCGTGTAAATTTGTTGAGGGTGGCCACGATACGTCTGAACACTTCAGTCACCAGAAAAGTATGGGAAAAAATTTGGGTTAAGGTTTTTCTAAAAACTAAGTTTTTCTTTAAAGGCAAACAATTGTCAGATAGCAACAAAAGTTGCAATACGTCTTGCAGGTAAGCATAGTTTACCATTTTATACTAAACTAACTCATAAAACTTGGGAAACTTGAGGAGCGTTATAAATGTGCCGCTTGTATCGTAGCCACCACCGCCGCTCTCGTGCCGCTCGCCGCTCGTATCGTACCCGGAGCCTTAGGATTTTAAACTTGTAAAGAAAAGGTAGTTGTGATCGAGATGGGGTTTTTTATTAACATAAGATTTGCAATACACTTGTAGCAGTTCACCTCGTCGCCGCTAGAATTTGTCATGGTGCAGTTTGCAAAGTGTTGCATAGCTATATGATTTGTTTTAAAAAGGGAGCTGTTTGCGGCAATGTTATTTTTTCATAAGCGCGATGAAGTACCTTTTCTCAAGCTAGACATCAACTACTTTATTCATTATTTAAATGTTTTATGCGATTACAACAGCTTTGAAATCGATTTCAACTGGTAAAGGACGAAATAGAGCATATTCAAATGCAAACAACCGAAAATCGATATTTTTGAACTCAATCGATAAAAATTCTACTACTCAAATTTTTGCTTTGCCGCAACCAAGGTCCCTTTTTCATTTCCGCCTCACATGTCTCAAATTATGGGAAGTTTGAAATATTTAGAGTTTGGGCATATTTTTGTCCTGAATTCCAATTACAGAGGCTTTGTGGTAATGCATTTCCCAAGTAGCACACATCGTTGGCCCAACGTTGGGAAATGGTCGGCACGGTTGGGAAATGGTTGGCAGAAATTTTAACGATTTGCCAACGTTGGCCCAACGGAAACTGGTATTCGTTGGCCCTACAAAGGAAAGAATTGTTGGGATAAAGTATAAAACATTCTAAAACGAATTTTAACAAATGATTTATTTAAAAGTACATAAATGTTATGGCAGCAGAATATAAGACAAATATTGTAAAAATTTGGATCAATAATGAATGTAGTCAGATGATAGTTGTGATACTAGATACAGTGGTGAACACCTGCTTAACATATAATAATTATTATAATTCATTTTTTGTTTAATATTCTTTAACTTATTTAAGCAAGTTTTTAATAGTTATAGAGAAAAGATTAATTAATTATGTATATAACAATCAATTATAACAGTAGCCTACTAATCTAATGGTAATTAAATAATCTATATTCAAATACTAGTATCCTCTAGCTCCAACTACCAGAAAAACTTTTCAACTACTTGAGGCCTAAACAGATTAACAGAATATTATACTGTAGCATCAAAAATATTTAAACATTTAAAGTATTATGGCTAGATGTGTAATACTAGAGCATACCGTAAATTTGAGGAAGCAAATTTTCTCAATCCGTGTCTTCTTCTCACATTATTGCAATCGCAAAGATCGAGTATAACTGCAATAAGCATTTTATACTTATAAGCCCCTCCCATACGAAGGACGGGTACTATGCTAGTTCAAAGTGATTTTTACACTTACTGAGCCTCTACAATTAAAATTTTGTTGCCGTAATTCAAAATTTTACCTCCAAAATCCAAAGTCAACCTCTACAATTCGAAATGCATTACCGCAAAGCCTCTGTAATTGGAATTCAGGACAAAAATATGCCCAATTTTAAACATGCCTATAAATTGGTGAGTGATTCCAAAATTTAGGCAGTAAGAAGCAAAGGAATTAGCAAATTAAAGAATAAGAAGATTGTCACTCGTAAATCTAGTTGATTAAAGCACAATTGTTTTATTTTAATTTTAGACGTAGAGATATATTTTGTTTGACATGACTAATGCAAATTTGTATTTGTTACTTTGGTTTAATAAACGAGTTACCGGTATTGAGTTATTGCCTGGGAAAAGTGTGATGGAAATCAATATAGCAAAATTAATTTCCAACACATAAAATTTTAGACCTGTTTACAAAACATTAACATAAAATTAATCATTTGTATACATATAGTAACTGAGAAAATAAGGTCCGCACATAACAAAAATATAATGTTCTAACCTAAGGTAATCTTATATGCCACAAGTTTTTTTTGTTTACTTATAAACTGTAGTAAACATTGGCCAATTTATATTAGTGTTATGTCAATTTTATCAGGATTTCAAGACGCATCAGAATATGACATTTGTTTTCATGATATTAACAAAATAACAAATTTCAAATTGGCATACTGCACTGTCGATGCAGTCCATCACGCGCCCAGCAAAACGGCAATAAGGATTAGGTCTTGAGGAGGCGTCTGAATAGGGACAAATTACTTTCGGGCACATGGTTTCTGCCCAGCGTTGACCTGTCGACAACATACTACCACTGAGCTATACTACTACTCAACACATTCTTCTTGGAAAGCTGGAATATGGGAAACGTGCCATCAGTCATCACTATGACGTCAGTCATGGAACATGGAACGTCCTTTGAGCCTCGCGGGAACTCGACCCCAATCGGGTTTATTCTATGAGCAAAACAAAAAATTTTCGAGCCACTTTTGGCCTTTTTTTTTGTTGAATTTTGTAAAAGTAAAACGTAAACCCAATATGGCTGTCGCTAGTATCGTTAGTGATCAATGCTGCAATATTAATATTAATATTAGTGATGTTTTGGTCAGCCAAGTTTCTCTACATCTTAGCCAGTGATTAGTTAAGTTTAAGGATATTGATTTTGTCGAGATAGCCTATTATAGGCCTAGCCTACTTCAAGAATTTCTCTCATTAATTGTTTCTTAAGGGCATAACTTACAAGATCAACTAACCTATTTCGGTAAGTTCAACCATACCCGCTGAAAAATATATTTTTATTAATAAAAACAAACTTAATGATGCCTTTAAAGAAAGTTCGGGTGTTTTGATCAGATAGGTAATCAAACTGTACTTGTCTGTAGCCTAGGGAAAATATTGTATGTAGCCTACAGGCCTATGCTTTAATAATTTCATAGGCTAACATAAGTTAACTTTTCCAAACTTCAGAAAAGGCCTAGCCTCGGCCCATTTATTTATTTATTTACGGTTACACCATTTTTAAGGTGTAAGTTAGCTCCACTTTGTGATAACCAGTAAGTTAGGCCTAGGCCAGAGAGCACAGAATAGAAGTAGAGGGGCTATGTATATCCAGCAAGCTTTGCGGGCAGTGTAGCCAATCCCCCACCACTTATACGGGCAAGTGGCGGCAACTGCTGCATATAGCGGTAGATTATCTTTTCCAAATGTACGTTGATTAGACACACTTATTGTAAGACCTAAAATTACCAAATTTGGCACAGCTACTAGTCTATAAATTAGTGCTTCCAACACTTGTGTGAACCTGGCAATAACTTGGCAATAAGTAGTGCGCGCGCCACAAAAAATCTATTGCTGGCCGTTTTGCGGCAAAATACGTCCGCGATGCATATTACCGATTATGCCAACAGATAGAGGACACTTTAACGGACACGACAGTATCAACATTATGTACCTGGGGAATAGGATAAGGGGGGTAAAATCGGCAAAAAGTAGTGCGCGCGCCACAAAAAATCTGTTGCTGGCCGTTTTGCGGTAAAATACGTCCGCGATGCATATTACCGATTATGCCAACAGATAGAGGACACTTTAACGGACACGACAGTATCAACATTATGTACCTGGGGAATAGGATAAGGGGGGTAAAATCGGCAAAAAGCAGTGCGCGCGCCACAACAAATCTGTTGCTGGCCGTTTTGCGGTAAAATACGTCCGCGATGCATATTACCGATTATGCCAACAGATAGAGGACACTTTAACGGACACGACAGTATCAACATTATGTACCTGGGGAATAGGATAAGGGGGGTAAAATCGGCAAAAAGTAGGCCTAACTTAGTGCGCGCGCCACAAAAAATCTGTTGCTGGCCGTTTTGCGGTAAAATACGTCCGCGATGCATATTACCGATTATGCCAACAGATAGAGGACACTTTAACGGACACGACAGTATCAACATTATGTTCCTGGGGAGTAGGATAAGGGGGGTAAAATCGGCAAAAAGTAGTGCGCGCGCCACAAAAAATCTATTGCTGGCCGTTTTGCGGCAAAATATTGAACCGTATATTCATTTTGTTCGTAGTCAGTAGAATTCTAAAATGGTAATACACAGCAATTTTAGAAAGGTAGATATTTAGAAAAAAGTAAAAAAAAGAAAATTTATAAATTTTTCAAATTTTATTTCAAAAGTAAACACTTGTCACATGTAACGTAATTTTTTATTGCACAACTCAAAATAAGCATTTTGTTCAGAATTTATTCCTCTACATAGACAAATCATAATACACAAAATAATTATTTTTATAGATTTACTAGCAATAATACGGAAAAATTGGAAAACGTCAATTTCTTCTACTACACGTTGATGGATCCACAAATGCCCCCTACTAATAAATCAATATTATAAAACCATACATTTTTTGAAGCCAATAATATCATTCTATATAAGAATAACTAAATAAGATAAGTAATAGAATATTTGGTTTTCACAAAAGCAAAAATGTAAACAAAACAACTGATCAGCTGTTATAGCCCACAAAACTTCATTAACTTTTTATCTTATTTTGGATCACACATGTATAAATATGTATGCAAAATAATGCATAAATATTTCGCCTAATACAAAATAATAAACTAAAACGAACATTACACTGTTAAAATTAGGGATAAAACCCACACTTCGTCTTTATCAGACAAAAACTCGCGCCGCAGCCGCCATTTTAGGTTAGACAATGACAAGTGTTCTGTTCCTTTAGCGTTGAAAAATCAAAAGCTTCTATTTGTGTGACCAGCCTAACAACATTGAATTCTACTGTCCTTCGTCTACAAGATCGTATATAAAACAACGTTTTTGTACTTTTCACATTGTATATATATATATGCGATTTAGAAATCGACATTTTATGTCGATCCGCCACATGAACAATAGGCTACGTAAAAATAGGCTATTTACAAAAATTGTTCATCAGCTGTTGGAATTTATTATGACGTTATACTTTATACAAAATAAAAGATTACTTCATGCTTGTTGCAGTGGTACCACTTGCTTTTGTCTTTGTTTACTTTCTGATTTGTTTTCTGAACTTTCTGAAATAGGCCTAAGTTAAAGTTATGCCTAACATAGGTCTACTTCTGATTTTAACTTACTCTCCGTTTACTTTTCTACCAACTAGGACCTAAGTTAACTTATAAGTTAGACCTATGACTTATCCTATATATATTTTGTAATTTTCAAGGTTGAAAACCCCTTTTTGAAATTAAAATTCCAACCCCCTAAACTTTGCCACCTTTTCTTCTAAAAACAAGAAAGTTCCCCAGCTGTCAACTCCATAAATACAGGGTGATTCAAAAAGGACTTTACAACTTTGAAAATTCATATAAATCTTATTTAACATTAAGGTACATAGCTGGTTTTGGTGTTGTTTTAAAGGAAAACACTTCAAGTTTTTTTACCTTAAACTAAAAATATTCTTTATGACTTCCGTTGGATTTGGGGAAAATAATTATTTAGGTATGAAAAAATAGTGAAAACCGTTAAAAATTTGAGAGAAATTTACAAAGTTTTGAAAGTAGGGCGTTTTTTGACGGTGAAGGAGTGCGATTTTTGAAAAACGCATAATTAGTGTCTTGTAGGAAATTTAATTCCGAACCTACGTTTTTTCCTCAAATCTTTTCTAGCTCTTACCGTTTTTGAGCTGTAGCCGTTTAAAAAAAACGTGTTTTGTCGTTTTCAGAGGTCCGCCATTTTAAATTTTTGGGTGGGTTAAAATTTGAAAATGTGACTTTTTGGAATTTTATGGGTGGTTTGGGACCAAGAACTACAAGTGTGCGAAATTTAAACTCCCTAGCACATCTAGAAGTGTGTGTATCGCACTCCTTCACCGTAAAAAAAACGCCCTACTTTCAAAAATTTGTAAATTTCTCTCAAGTTTTTAACGGTTTTCACTATTTTTCATACCTAAATAATTATTTTCCCCAAATCCAACGGAAGTCACATAGAACATCTTTAGTTTAATGTAAAAAAACTTGAAGTGTTTTCCTTTAAAACAACCCCAAAACCAGCTCTGTACCTTGTTTAATAAGATTTATATGAATTTTCAAAGTTGTAAAGTCATTTTTGAATCACCCTGTATAGGTTTAGGCTAGCCTGTAGGTTTGAATCATGGTGTTGTTTACGCTGTAAAAACAATTTCTTAAGAATAAAAGTTATGGTGTTTGCAGGATCTTATCAGGCCTAATTTAGTTTGTTAAATCTGGGTAAGGTAGCTCTAAATTTATAGGTTAATCTGAGCCCGCAGCTCGGTGTAAGTTGTGTGTAGGCTCCAAAAGCTAAGTTATTTGTTATAGCTGTGTATATATACATCTGTGTGTATAGCTGAGCATTTTAATTGCCAATTCAAATGAATGAAATGATCTTGTTCTGTTATATTGCATTATAAGTTATCTGGCGGTTAAGGAGGTTTTAATTTATGGACTACTTAAGTGTTGCTTCAAGATTACAATTTGTCAATTCTCAGTAAAAGTGGTGTGTTGCTAGCCTACTGTTTGTGCATACAGTTTTAAACTTCCGTGAAAAAAATTGGTTCAATCACCAGCAAACACAAACATTTAAGTTAAGGTTTGGACTTCTACCCTATATAAAAAACACTCTTTATTCAATTTTTAGTTAGGTTCTAGTAAGCCACCGGGTGACTGAGCCATGGCTCGGTAGAGTTTATTTTGATTGTATAAGAGCAATATCAAGGAAACTCACAGTTTTTACAACTAATTTTGGCTTGAGTTAGGCCTATTATTTACGTTTCAGTGGAATTTCAATTTATTATGAATACAGCTGTCCAAATTAACTTTGGCCTTTGTAAAATATGAAAAATAGTGCATAAAAATTGTAAAATCTATGCATACCCTTTAATAAGATTGAAACTAGAGAGTAAACAAAGAGTAAACAGCAGGGAGTTGAGGCCAGTGCACTCAAACGGCACCAACACAAATGTCTTGCTCTATTTCCCCCGTTCTCAATGGCGCCACTTGGGAGAGCTATTGCTGCCGTCTTAGCACCAGATCGCTCCTACACTCAGTAGGCCTACGTTCATCATTATGTACGTGCATGAAGTATCCTGTATATGTCTCGTTGTACTTTTTTTGCAGAATTCTAAAGTAAGCACTCTCGTGGCAAATCCCACCAAAAGCTCTCCTCGGTGATCAGATTTATAGGTATTGGAGAAGATTCACAAGTCTATTGAAATATATTGCCAGATTTATGATATTTACGACAATGGAGTGATGTGAAAGGAGTGGTGGTTATCCATGGTTGGTACAGTCAGGGAAAACATGGAATAGTCAGGGAATTTTGTTGGTTTGGAAAAGGGAATTATGAAAACATTCTGAAATTTTTCTCCTGAAAGATTACTTTTTTACATATATGCTACATTTGCATTAAACATGTCTTAGTCAGGGTGATGACTATTGGCAAAAAGAACGACATTGAAGCACTGATTTTTATATCGATAGGTAATGGGTACGGGGGAGGAATCAATATGTATAGTTTGAAACAAGTTTTGTTTCTGAGAGTGATTTAATTGGCTAGGTTAAATATTTAAATTTTTTTCTATATTTCTTGATTTTGATTAGTCCATATTGACTTACGGGATAGGTACACCTGGAAAGAGTATAATATCAGTCTGGAAAACCTAGAAAAGTCTGGGAATTTTATTTTCCATATGTAGTACCAACCCTGCTGTCCCAGTGGTAGGCATTGTCTAGTGACTGACAAACTATTGACAGACAGCCAATTTAACTTTGTTTTATACTTCGCGCCAAAGCTGGTGGCGGCTGAGGGATTAGGACGGCCAGGTCGGTGAGCAGGTCCGACCTATGTAGTCCTACCTGGCGGTCCTAATCCCTCAGCCGCCACCAGCTTTGGCGTGGAGTATAAGTTTGTTTCATGAACCATAGAAAACAATTTCACAAAATGGTTGTCAAAAAACTTTTTTACCACAAATATTTGGTGTCTGGTGGGTTCCAGTGGTCTTAACAGATGTCAGTCAATACTAGATCTACCAGTAGGCGTACCGCCCTCATCTTGAACAATGGTTTGGTAATTTTTAAAAGTAAATAATGCAAGACTGTCTTTCTGGGAATCGCTCATAACTTTTTGCTGTAAACATCACAAATCTGAAATAAAATTAATTGGCTCGCAGGTTTTCACCATAATGTATCTAATCAAAGATTGAACATAATAAAAGGTAGTATTTTGAATGACAGCACTCATGTTAACACTCTACTGAAGACAAAGTATTGAGTGATATGATGTAGGCCTACATACTACTATTGCCCTAGGTTTACTAAATGTAAGAACCCTCTGATGGCAGCGATAGCCCTGCTCCATAAGCCACCAATGCAAAGTGTGTTGTACTTTCAACCCCAAGTTTATTTGTGAGCCTCCAAAAATATTCCTGAAGGTCATATGAAGAAGTATGTAAGAAGATGTTTTGAATTCATATGCTATTATAACTTTTTTAATGTTTTCCAGATGTGACCAGCTACTTTTCAAGAACATAAAATCTTGTACCGTTGTTATTAATAATGAAAAGACAACAAGTTTTGAAAAGAAAAAAAATTGACAGTTGAAATACTATACCTGTGATCACCAATGGATCCTGTTGGTTCATGGAGTGCATACGCTGCTAGCTACAATCGTCTCACAGGATCAGCCAGCAACGGAGACTACCCCCACCACCTGGCAGCTACCAACCCAGGGCCCTCTCCTTCCACCACCTCTCCGTTACTGCTACAGGCTGCTCACCCAACCTCCTCCCCAGCGTTTACTCCCAGCAGTTTTCTCTCCCCCCCACCAGTGGGTTATGACCCTGTCTTTTCCCCTTTCTTACATGCCAACCAGAAAGCTCATTACCCTCAGGCATTAACAGTGGCTCAGCATAGACAAGTGATTGCCTCTACAAAACAAGTTTCAGCAGACAATGATTCCCTAAGGGAAAGTTACACTCCTGTTCACCCTCAACCTTTGCCCCCTCCAAATCCAGCTTTCTTTGAGCAAGCTTCTGGTTCTGTTCAACCTACTACGATCGCTTGGTCACATCAGAGTAACTCTCATTCACAATTGCCGAGTCCTTTTGGAGTTTTACCACATGAAAGTGTGGTTGGTAGTAGTACGGGCTCGAACTTTAATCCAGCTCACTTTGCTGCAGCCCAGACATTAAATCATATTAATTCGCAGCTAGCTGCTGTGAGTTACAGTGATACTTCTAAAAGGCTCACTACAAGGCCAATGCAATCTCCTCCGTCAAAACCGATCACCCCTAATGTTACAAGTTCTGGATACTATCAGCAGGCTTCTCCGATTTCTGGAAACCAATATATTGCTAGCAAAACTCAAGTTCCAAATGTGATGGTGCCATCAGCTAATATGTCTAAAGATTACAATGCGTCACTGTCCCATATACACGCTTCAGTAGCAGCGTTTCCCCCGAGAATATCAGAAAATCAGTCAAGTGAATTCCAGTCCCCCACGACAAAGAGCAACTCTTCTGTGCCAAACAAAATAACTGAGAGGAGAGATAGTGGTCATGAATCTACACAGTCCTCTCCCATTAGTTTTGCTGTAATGGACTCTAATCAAAACAGATCTTCATCAAAAATACCTCCGGCGAGGTCAGGTATTCCTCAGCAGTCACAACTACAACAGCAATTGTTGAACCATCAGAAGACTGGAGCGTACAGAGGGTCAACTCCTGAGTCGGAATACACCCAAGTCTCTGCGGGAAGGAACACTGCTTCTACTGATGCTGGATATTCATCAGGGTCTAGTGTAGGCCACGGTGGTGTTGATGCGTCTTTACAAAGGAGTCCATTAGACTCTCATGTCACTAGTCCTACCGGTTATCCAGCGTATCACAGCCCAATGACTTCTATGTCCTCCCCTTCACCTGTTCAGCAACACGTTGACCAAAATGTAAGCTACAGACAAAACCCTTCTCCTCAATTCAACCCTACGTCACCTTTAGACGCTTCTTTATCCAGGCATCCCTCGGTTATAACAAGAGGTGATCCAAAATATGCTAATGATACGTTTCCCCCAAAACAGTGTTGGGATGGGACTGAACAACTCAGAAGTCAAAATTATTCTAATTATTCATCGGATGTCTCTCCAAATCCCAGTAATATTTCAATCCAGCACCAACGAACATCTCACATGGTAACAGACAGGCACCAAGAATATTTAGCCTCTGGCAATCAAAGTATCAAGGGAGATCCCATGACTATTGTTAAAAACTTGCAAAATCTACAACAGCATTGTCAACCCCCTCCAGTCACTACAGATATTAAAGTAGAATTTGAAAACCCAAATCCTGCCATCAAAAACTGTGGCTCACCATCAAAAAGGAAAAAGAGCATTGATAGTAAAATACTAGTTGCTCAACCAGATCCTTCAAATAGAGTTCCTCCTCCTGCTCATTTAAATCAACCGCAACAGAATAGTGGTGGCGTGGAACATAACTCTCAGAAACCAGAAATCTCCACATTTACACCTCAAAACACTCCACATCCTGATTCAAAACCCACAAATGTGCCATTTCACCCTCACGATGTCTCACATTCTGGAGGCCAGATATCTTATCTTACTTCTCATAAAATGCCCAAATCACAAGATCAAAAGAACATTAACCCTAACTTACAAAGTAAATCTTCTGCAACGAATCCTAACCAATACAACATCAATGATAGATTACCGAAGGTTGATGTTGAAGACACGCCGATTGCAAAAGTTATTGTTCCCGATGTTGAAGAAGAATTAGGGTTTTTAGCTGAAACTCCTAATCCCAATCCAAAACCAAATAGTGCCATCATGAATATTCCTCCAGTAAAGCTGTATACAAATCCAAAAAGCAGCTTCATGGAAAGTTACCTAAAATTTATTCAGGGTGAGAAGGAATCGTCTCCCCCTCCTAGACAAAAGCCTGCCAGGCTCAGATATGTACCTATGAGTAGAAAACCTCAGCAAGAAAAACAACAATTAAAGAAGGCAAGAAAGAAATCCAAAACACCTCCGCCATTACAGAGCGATGTAGAAGAAGATGTGGATGATCCGAGATACTTTCCTTTGCCTAAAGATCCATCAAGTAGGAAGTTAAACTCAAGTGACTCTGAGGAGACGGATTATGATAATCTAATACCAGCTGTTGCACACAAGACGAGTTCAAACAATGCTTCTAGAGAGGCAACCGATAATGAGGAGCAAAAGAAATCTAGTAAAAGAGTACCAAAAGTCAAAAGGAAATCTCATCTTACCAGGAAGAGAAAAAGGAGCTCATCAGGTAAGAATTAGGGATGGTCAAGTCTCGAAATTTCGGGAAATTTTCGGGAAATTTTCAATCTCGTTACACGAGACGAGATTACTTTTTGGCCGAGATTTTTATCGAGACGAGAATTAAAAAAAAAAAAAAAAAAAAAAATTAAAAACGCCTGCAGAAAGTCAATGCAATACCCGCAATACAGGAGCGTGTTGTAGTTGCGTTTCCTTTTCGAAGGCGTTCTTATTTAATTAATTCTTTTAATGTAAATATTACTTTCATTATTTTAATAATATTACTTTAATAACATTTGAGAAGTTTTGTTAAGTGTAAGCAGTGTGAGGAATGTTTTATTACTATAAAAAAAGTCAAAACAAGTAACTATTTTATAAAAAATAATATTGCTTTTATTTTATGATTTATTTTATTTTAGGATAAGTTGAACTCTATCCTAACTGATATCACCATGTTTCCTAATCGTAGGCATTTTTAATAAGTTAGGCGTGATTAATAAAAAAATGTTATGCTGATGTTATTTAATGAAAGATTGTAAATATTCTTGCCTATTATCATTAGTACCTGGGGACCGAGCTTTGCTCGGGAAATCATTAGTATTTACTATGAGAGAAATATTTGTTCAATGTCATCTATCAAAAACATAATTGTTTATCAGTCTGTTATAATAGTAATATTGTAGTTGACTTTGTTTTTTAAGCAAAATTGATGATTCTCATGTAAATTAATATAGTAATTTATTCCATCTTTAAACAATAAAATATTGTGATTTATTTTTCAAAAAAATAAAAACATCCTAATTTGGCTACATTGTAGTTGAGTATAGACAACATGGCATGCTATAATATTGCAATTTAAGTTCTAAGGATTTCCACACAAGAACTGTAAGCATCTCAATTCACTTTTCCAAATAGTTTTCTTAAACAAACAAAGAAAAATATCACAGTAGTTACAATTAATATTACAGAGTGAGGCTGCATTTATTGTAAAAACATGAAAACTACAAATTGTTTATACGATTGTTTTTTGTAGACTAAAACAAATAACATAACAAACACATAAGAATTCAAATTAGTCAGTTTTAAACCAATTTTAAACTATAAAAATGTAATGGTGATAAGCATTCAACTGTGGTAAAATAGGATATAATACAATTACATATTTTACCTCTGCTCTAGATTCTAATTTGACTATATTCTTCAGATTATCGACAATTAAGTCAACAAACTATTTAATCCAAACTAAATAATTTCAAGTAAGGTAAGCTAGTTATTATGGTACAAATTTAAATATTAATTACATAGACCAAAATGAACTAACATTTTCAATATTGTTCATCTGAATATTTCCATCCAAACAACGTTTTTAGTTAATTTTCTGTCTCTAGATGGCAAAACAACTTTTAAAGAGTTTCTTGTTCGTACTCTGGAGAAAGCTACATAGAGCATCCCATGCATGAATACGGGGTTGTTTAACACAACACCAACAGACTGAAAGGTTTGGCCTTGAGACTTATGGATGGTCATAGCAAAAGCTGGTCGAACTGGAAACTGATGTCTTTGCAGCGAACATCCGAGTTGACACTTGCTCGAATCAAGAGTGACTCTTGGAATGTGTACATCTCGACCAGAATGACTGCCAGTAATTATTTTAGCCTTAATAATGTTCGGACACAACTCCGTGACAATCAGTCTTGTGCCATTGCATAAACCCTCCGTCACGTCTAGGTTTCTGAGTAACATTATAACGACGTTGTTTTTTAGTCGGAGTTCATGAGGTGGTAAATCTGATATTTCAATTGAGTTTAAAAACTCAGTTGGGAATTTGAGAGCTCCATCAGGTTCATCTTTTACTGAATCAAAACTTTTATAAATTGTTTCTTGTCCAGGGATAATTTGGATGATCTCGTTATTGATATTATCAACATCTCTATTTAAAGGTGCAAGGATGGCTCTATCTCTCATAGCATTGTAATCTCTGTTGGCTAGACAATCGCCATATATTTGTTCAACAATATTTCCATTTGAAATAATGTCATCGGGAATATTTATTTCACAGTCATTGTTGGTGGGCAAATCTCCATTTCCAAGTTGAAGGAGATATCCAGCAAATGCACTTTCATCGAGATTGACTCTCATGTTTTGATGAAGAGAGAAGAGCTTGAAAAACTTCCAAATACTGCAACGTTTTACAGAAAGGTCGATCAGCTCAGATCGATTTGCTCTAGGCTGGACTGGAAGGCATTGGCGGAAGTCTCCTCCTAGGATCATAGTTTTTCCTCCAAAAGGCAAGTTTCTGTTTCCTAAGCTTCGCAGGAGTCCGTCAATACAACTTAGGCCATATTTTGGTAGCATTGGTGCTTCGTCCATCATAAATACGTCTACTTCTGCCAGTTCTTGGGCCTTCTGAGTGCCTGGCTGAATTGATGATTTAGAATCGCTAGTCAATGGAACTTTTAGACCAAAAGTCCTATGGGTAGTACGTCCTTCAGGTAGCAAGATTGATGCAATGCCGGTATATGCCATGCATTTTACATTAAGATTTTTTCCAAGAATTAGATGGTAGAGGGTATTGTACACGTATGTCTTCCCTGTACCTCCTGGTCCATCGAGGAAAAAACACTTGGGGATGCAACTCATCGGGTCTTCTATTGCTTCCATAACAGCATCAACAAAGTCTTTTTGTTCGTTATTCAAATTGCTATATTGTCTGCGACCAATGGCTTCTAATTCGCTGACATTGTGGGTTTCTTCATTTCCCTCGTCTTGAAAATTCTGAATGTCATCCATACCATAGTTTTCCACCCAAAATTGGAAGTTTCGGCCTGAAATAAATAATTATTTTGAGTTCACTTTTTACAAAATCATAAGTATTAAAACATGTAGTATAATTTATTTTAGTCTAATGCTTTCTCTTATTTTAATTTGTTATAATATTCATTGCATATTTTTTATTTTTATTTTGCTTCACACTTATATTTAATAAAATTTGAACAATTATACACTCTAATTTTACAATTATCATAAATGACATTAAAAAATATAAACGTTTCACAATGTTAATAAAGTTTATGGTCAAGTAATCTACTAATGAGTCACAGTAACAAATGCTAAATATTTAATTTAATAATAAGTTAGCATTTTCAATTCTGTACATAATTAGTATGGGTTAGTTTCTCATATTTTAGAACTTATGTGAAGCCTAAGTCTAGTGCGCTTCCAATGTTAGAATTGAAATTTAAGCCATAGAATCAGTTGATCAAAAGTAATTGTATGTTATTGTTATTGATACTATGAGAAAGAATTACCTTCAGTAGCTTCAGTATTCAGCTTATGGGCAATAATACGTTAAGCCTTCATGAGTGTTGTGATCATTTACTGCATGACTTATATTAGAAGATTCATTACAATAGGGAATGTAGTGAAATTGCACGTGAAATAATAGTTAAGTTGAAATAAATTTAGCAGAAATCTACTACCCAATAAATATAAAAGGAGGTGTATAAGTTAAAGCTAATTAAAGATTATTCCATCCTCTCATTAATTTAACTACCGCACTCGACATTGACAGAAATTGGTTTTTCAGTTATAGTATAATATGCTCAATGGTATAATCTGAATGTTAATTTCCTTTGCTCTGTATACACACATTGTTATTTCCTTTTGGTCTGTGTAAACATATGCTACAAATAGCATGGGCAAGCTGAGGTGCCCGTGGGTACAGAACGTCATGTTATGTCTTAAAATGTAAACAAAATGACAACAATGGCGGAATGTTTTCTCATAAGGCCCATGTTAAATTTTCAAAAGTTTGCACTCATATTATGGCGAAAATAGATTTTTCCTGGCTATACCACTGGTCTAGAACTTATTTTTGGCACAGAACTTAGTTATTCCGTAAATATAAACGATTTTGTTAGGGCCGATTCCCAGATCGAGTGGACAAGTATTCAAACTTTACTCGTATTATATATAGGATAGTAAGGACTGTATTAGATCATCTTTGATCATTATTTTGAAATGACTTTTAAAGACATTAAAATAATTGAATATTGATATGGTATTATGTATGATATGTTGAAGTAATTCACTAAAGATTGATATTTAACTTTGGTAGACCAATAGACAACATTCATTGACCATCGGCATGGCTAACCTACTCGCTGTCAGTTTAAGAGAAAGATATTATCATTTAAAATAAAATATAAATAAATATATTATACATTTTGAAGGGGTATCCACTCAAAATAAACTTAATTTAAGTTTTGTAATAAGTAATATTTATAAGTTGATTATTACCTTCTGTAGCTTCAGTATTTAGCTTGTAAGCTATGATTCTATATGCTCTGTTGTAAGAATCTTCTAGAGGGGTTCCAGAAATCTCTGCTTCTCTAAGAAAATCTTCTGCCAACTCGTCCTTAAACATATCCCAGAGACGTTTAGGGTTTTCTGGTGATCCGAGAATCAAGATTTGACAAAAGAGTGTCCTCATGACACTCGGCATCTTTGACAAAGCGGATTCCCGCAGCCCATCAATCCATTGCTGGTCATCATATGTAAGGCCTTTTGCTAGGCATGCTTGTTTATAAGTGGAATAGGCAGTCCCATTTACAAATTTAAGGTCTTCAAAACTTTTGGCATCTTTGGTATGGAAGAGGAGCATTCTTAAGTGATAAAGTTCAGGTTGGGCCACCAAGTTCACAGTGTGGATCCTTCCAATCGTTTTTGAGCTTCGCTGTCGTACCACCCATTCACTTGTTTTGCCTAACCATTTGTACTTTTCTGGCATCTGCCAGTAGAAGTAGTAGATTACTTCATTCCCATTCTCTTCTTCTATGTGAAGTTTAGAGTTGTGTTTAAAGTACGCCTCTAAGGTGGACCCTTTCAGGCCAGTGTCCGCTACATCTTCTTGTGTCTGTTCAATGTTTCCCACACGGTACTGACCTTCTAGATGGATGTCCAAACGTTGCACCGAATGGCTTTTCCTTTGGATTTCATTTCCAGCCAGCC